CCCCTCCCCCTCTTGTGTTTGAAGAGAGCTTCCCTCTGGGAGTTTATGGCAGCCTGACCTCCAGCCTCTGGGTTGGAGAATCTGGCTGCTTCTGTACTACATAAAAAGGGCAAGTGCATTCATTATTATTATATTATTATACAATGTATAATATATAATAGCGATTATACTGTCAGCAGCCAGAGTCTCTGACCACAGATCAGAGGCTGGGGTGTCATAAATCCACCTAGTGAAGTCTTTGGAGGTTCTATGTGAAGGTGAGAAGATTCAACCCCATCTATAATGGGGGCTTTCAGTAAAGAGTTTCTTCCATAAGCAACTTTGGAGTTTGAATTTAGGGGGACTGGGAGGATCTGGACAAACAGTATTTAGTGTATTTGGGATGTGATGCAAAAAAGGTCACAATTGCCTCCTCTGAGCCATGAAATGCTGATGGTTCTCAACCCTGCCTGTGTTGGGGGCAGAGGAGGAGTGACCCAGAGGCCTGGAAAGAGCAAAGGGGCAGCCTTCAACTTCTGGGGTCAGATTCTTTACTGAAAACCTGGCCTGCTTGGGTTTCACTTTCTGCTTCTCTGCTTACATCAGTGTCTTTGTCTAGGCTTTATCCAGGCCCCCTGCCTTGTCTGGGGTCAGAGGATCAATCGCTGGCTGCCTGACTGTAGCTGAAACGGCTCCTCTACGGGGAGCAAGAAGCAAATTTCAAGGAGGCAGAAAGGGTCCTCTTGTCCCTTTATGCAGAGGGCCATGTGCTCAGTAGTGAAAGCAAGCAAGCCAGCATCTGTAGGTGCTGGGTGTCTACACTGGCACTTGATAGGACTACAATCTTTGTGGAATGAAAGAAGGCACGTGTATGACCACGCGTGCTTGCACTGGTCTTCCTCCTAGAAGGCACTTAGGTGAATATCCTCTCGGAAGTAGAGGAGGCCACCCCAGCAGGCCCAGGCTGAAACAGCCCAGCCGATCTCCCTTTATACCACACCACCCTGACCCCCAGAACCCTGGGACTTCTTGGAATGAAAATAGCAGTGGCTTAGAACAGGTTTGTCTGGCATTTGCAAAGAGGTGATTTACTGACAAAGCCTCTACACTCTTTTATCTCTAGCTCAGCCTCATCTCATCATGCAGTCTCCCTCTCTGTGAACCAAACGCCCCAGGAAGCCCACAGCAGAAAAAGCTCTTGAGAATAGGAATAACTAACCGGAGTGTCATCTGAACACCTTTTCTGGGGCCAGGGTAATGAGAATTATTCAAATGCAATCATAAAAATGAGGCCAGCCTGGCAGAAATGGGGTGGGGGTGGGGGTGAGGGGAGAAGCGGGGGTGGAGGGAAGGATTTCTTGCTAGTTTTAAGTTTCTTAATTTCTGGAGAGTTCTCTTGGGGTCCTCGTCTCCGTCCGCTCAACACGGAACGCCTTGGAACTCTGCCTGGGTGGTTTGCTGAGGAAGACTTGGCATGGGGTCAGAGGCAGTGTCTCTGAGATCATGGGGGTCCACTGCATTCCCACACTGGAGGCGAAAGCGCAGTCTGAGGCTTTCTGTCCAGCGCCGCTGTGCACCCGCCGGCAGGAGCAGACGCGCCCGGCGTCTCAGAAAAGCCTCCAGCAGAGGGAGACACTCCGGCGGCTCCTCTGCCTGGGAAGCGCCCG